ACATACCACCTGAATGAAGCTCACAGACAACTAGTGATTCATGGAACACAGTTTGGAAGCCCCTGAGATGTGGGGAAGAAGAAAGACTTTCCTCTAGCACTACCAACCGATGCAGAAACCAGAGCAAAGAAAAGTGGCCCCAAAGAGCCTTGCTGCACAGGACCTGCATCTGATCAAATGTGCACAGAGGTCTGAGCAGCAGGGTTGAGGAGGAGAACTGACTCATCTCTGGAGCCAGCCCAGGAGCTTGGAGTTACCAAATCCAGCTAACTAGATCAACATCCTGTGCTAATTTTAGCTTTATGGCAGATGCCCTTGGCTCCAGGGGCCAGGCGTACACAATGCAAACCAGATGCTGGAGGGAGAGGAGCCAGAGATCACTGTCCCAGCGCTCCCCCACCAATGACCTCAAATTGCTGGGGAGGGAACCCCTGGATATACCTAGTTTCCAGCTCTGGGCAATCTCAACTAGAAAGTCATAGCATGCTGTCTGTTCAAAGGGCAATGGACGTTAACTGATGATGATAGCTAAGAGAGGTGAGATGACTCTTTCTGGGGAATATGCCTCACAAAGCACCAAATGGAGGCAGTCGTACCACAGCCCTGCCAAGACACAGTGAGCCATGGACCACCAACACAACCTTGTCTGCCAAAAATAAGACCAAGAATGCACTACTAGTCTGTCTGTAAGTTGGGTGGAGTTGGGAACTATGTTTAAAATTATACGGCTGAAGGGAGTGACAACAGCATACTTTTTACATCTCTAGAGCCTAGAGCAAAACAAAACACTTCTCTGACTCAAGATCACCGCATATGCAATATACATATTAGGTACTTTATGGAACAGGGGCATCTAGACCACACTGAAAACATTATCACATATGGCACAAACAACCAGCACCCGTAACCAACTACAGTTCCCAAATCCCCATTTAAATCTGGTTAAATAATATTTGGGACGTGGCTATTGGAATGCTTTACTCTGCACAGGAGGGTAATTAAAGGCACCGAAAGGACAGACACTTTTTGGTGAGACTCGGCTTCCTTTCTTTTCCTTTATAAATGAGACAGAATATACTTTTATTATACCCCCAACACAAGAATCACCACGGAGAGGATACTTGATAATGCATAAATAAACATACAGTCGTACCTTGGATCTCAAACAACTTGCAAGACGAACGTTTTGGGTCCCGAACGCCGCAAACCCAGAAGTGATTGTTCTGATTTGCAAACGTTCTTTGGAACCCGAACGTCCGTCGTGACTTCTATGGCTTCCGATTGGCTGCAATCGTGAAGCCATGCCTTGGTTTCCGAACTGTTTTGGAAGTCAAATGGTCTTCCGGAACAGATTCCGTTTGACTTCCAAGGTACCACTGTATTCCTTGTGTACTGCATATGAAACTTAATAAGAATGTACCTACCACTGGACAAGTTACTGTACTTATATGTTGTTCTTACATTTACATGAAAAACAATTAAAATTAGGGGGGGATTACAGTTCCCAGGATTCCATGACTGTTTAAAGTGGTATGAGTACTGCTTTAAATGTATAAAGCAGATAGGGCTTGGGTTTCTCCTAGGCTCTTATATAACACTTTTTTCCATCAGCAGCTAAGGGCTCATCCACACTTAGCTTTTGCCCTGTACTTTCTAGGCACACATCCATGCTTTTAAGCCCCATGCCCCATCACTTTCCCCAAGAAAACCCACTCCTTAATGCAGAATCAGAACTAATTGCAAATCAAGTTTTCTGCAGATCCCATTTACTCTGATTCAGAGGTAAAGAGCAAGTTTTTGCAGGGAAAGCTTTAAAGTGCAAACCTAGAAATGTGGCACCAAAGTCTGTTGAGCTCTAAGTGATGCTTACTTCAAGTAGTGGCAACCTTGCCAATTCTTTTTAAAATTATTTTTAAAGCATGAATAAAGCACTCAAGTTAATGTCTTCATGAGGACGAAGCATAGCACAAAAAGCAACGCAAATGATTCATGCTGGATGGGTTGTGTTCAGCCTAGTGCTACGGCAAAGGTTGCATCAGTGGAAAGGTTTTCCTTGTGCAAGGGAACCTCCTCCTTCCTTCTGCCAGCACCACCCAAAATCTGGTCTGGGTGTTCCCCCATCCCTCCAGAGCAGATTTGGGGATTGTGCAGGGTGCAAGCAGGAGGTGAACAGGTGAAAATTCGCATTGTGCTACCAGGAATCCTTGCACTGGCTTCCACTAGTAAGTACAACAGGCTAGTAGAGCCCAATGCCTCCAGAGGAGTCTTTAAATGCTGACAACCTCCCCTTAATCTTGGCACCCACCCTGGCCACCTCCAGTAGAATTAATCTGAGCTTTGGGAAGCGCATAGAGATGAAAGAGGAAGTGGGAAAGAGAGACAGTCTTCTAACTTCCTCCTTCGGTTCCATGTGCTTTTCAAGGGAGAAAAAGGTAGCCAGCTTCACCACCTTAGAAGGCTTTATGGGCAGCAGGAGAAGACCTTGAGAACACCAGTGGCATCAGTGTGTGTGTGTGTGATATTTTTCACTTGACCCAAAAGCCCACATGTAGCTTAAACTAAGATTTCAGGAAACCTTGAAGAAGAGAAAGTAAAAATTGCATCTCCTGCTCATGAACTTGGTTCCTGAAGCTCTACCACCCACCACAATGTGAAAGTCTCCTGGTCCTTCAAACCAACCAACCAACCAAAAAACCTTCACCTTTTCACCCTTGGTGGCTTGTATACCTGGAGCTGCTTCCTAGAACACTCTTCCTACTTTACTTGACACCCCTCCTCAAAACCTAGCCTATTAAGTCTTTGGCACAGCCTCCTGGACCCCATGCTCAAGAGCACAGGTGTGGAACATTTGGCCCTCATGATGTATTTTTAACTACAGCTCCCATCATCACTGACCATTGGCCATGCTGGTTAGGGCTGATGGGATCTGGAGTCCAGGAACATCTGGAAGGCCGCACAGCCCACCTACAGCAAGGGTGTAACTCAAATACATATATTTCTTTATTATGTTCCCCTGCCTCCACTTCCAGTGTTGCTTACCTTTAGGTCAAATTTTAGACTGTAAGTTCCTTAGGGACAGAAACTCTTGTCAATTTGTGCAGCACCAAGCACACTAATAATTAAATACTAATAATTAATTACTTGCTTTTTTTTCTTCAATAGACAACAACCACAAATGGCACCAAACTTACTCAAAAACAGAAAAAGGACCACAGACAACCTAAACACCTGAAACGGAAAATCCGCATGTGAACACATCCTTCCTTCAATTTCTATACACACAACAGAGATGCAAGTAAATACTGTGATGGGAACTCAACAAATATAAAAGGCCATTTACGTGCACACACCCTTTGAAGTCGGAAGCAATCAGCAAAGTAGTAAAAGAAAAGGACCGTGAGGAAGCTAGGATTTTCCATTTCTGCTCATGATGGGTTACTCTCTAGCTACAACCATCTCCAAGAAACATATTTGGCCACAGTGTCTTGCTATCTGGTTTCAAGCCCAGCCTTCCCAGGCTGCTGAATGGGATACCAGCAGACTTTGTCGCTATAACTAAACCGTGAGGTGAGTGTTTTGCCTTCCCTCTCTATCCCAGCCCCATAAACACCTAGGAACAGAAAAAAAAGGGGAAGAGTGTGCTTATTTGCTCAGACTTGAGGCCTCACTTGCTAAAGATTTATAAGGCAGCTTTTTCTTCTTCTTCTTCTTTTGCCTAGATTCCCTTCTAAACATCTGGAGGGTTTGCTGAGTTTAACCCTTATTTAGTATTTAGAAGGAAAGAAGAGACTTAACCCTTTGTGGTGGTGTTCTGAGCATTACAATCAAGGAGAAATGTACACTGGGCGGGCTCTAAGGCATTTTTTTAAAGCAAAGCAACCTGTCCTATTGTGCCTGATCCTGGGTTTGTTGAATGTAAGTAGGATTCCCATAGCTGTCCCCACCAGCTATTATCCCCATCCATCTCAGTAATTAAGACTTGTGCCTTCTGTTATGAATTGCTGCAGCTTTGCCCCATAGACTCACTGGAATCTTCGCTCCCTGTCGATGCCTGTTAATTGGCCCTTTCAGGCTCTTTTCATCATCCCTCAACATTGCTCATATGGGTATGCATTCATGTTCATGATACCGTTAGTGTTAAAACTCTTGTACATGTGAACAGTGTTCAATATTAGCCAGGCACCAAGCGCATTTTGCACCTGGCTATCAACCACTTGCGACCAAGTGAAGATGCCTGGGTGTTAGGCTAGCGCCTGACAATCTCCAACATCTGGAGGTGCATGCCTGGGGATCATTGGATCTGGACTGTTTTCACACACTAATACTGCATGCTGTAGAATTCTACCAGTTATATTTTTTATCTGCACAATTGGAATGGATTTCCAGGAACCAAAAGGCCTTTTTTTGTGTGCAACCTGAGCAGGAGCAGTCCCCATTAAGAAAAAGAGGTCGGAAGAGGCCAATATATATGTGGACTGCCCCTGGATCAAGGGACTTTCCTTCTTTTAAGTTCTTAAAGTTCTTAACCTAGCTAGCTCAAGGTTGCCATCTGAACTAGCCAGATGTTTAACTGAGAATCAATCAGCCAGCCCATCATTTGAAAAATAAAGACTTTAAAGCCATCTTACCCAAAAATGGCAGCTAGACATTTAGGAGTCATCTGGCGCCTAGTATATATATGAGTTTCTAACACTGCCTGCCAACCTAGCAGTTCGAAAGCACCCCCAGGTGCAAGTAGATAAATAGGGACCGCTTACCAGCGGGAAGGTAAACGGCGTTCCGTGTGCTGCGCTGGTTCGCCAGATGCAGCTTTGTCACGCTGGCCACATGACCCGGAAGTGTCTCCGGACAGCGCTGGCCCCCGGCCTCTTGAGTGAGATGGGCGCACAACCCCAGAGTCTGTCAAGACTGGCCCGTACGGGCAGGGGTACCTTTACCTTTACCTTTACCAACACTACATGTGAATCAAGTTAACAGTGCGAAGAAAAAGTCCTTCTAACCTGCTTCTGAAAAATGGAATCCCCAGGCACCTAGGATCTTTCGGTGTGGCTCCTTGTGGAAAAAGGCAGGTGAGCCTTCTGGGTCCAACCTGTTGGTGTGAAAGTGAGAGGTAGGAAGGTAATCAAAAGCACAATCCTAGCCATGTCTACTCAGAAGTCCTATTGAATTCTCATAAACATGCTAAAGTTTAGTAGACTGAACTCTAAACTATGACACTAGCATAAACTCAGTCTTCACCAGCCATGTTTTGGGGTACCATCAGTACAGCCATGCTGCCTGGGGCTGATGAGAATTGTAGTCCAACACATCTGGAGGGCCCCATATTGGGGAAGGCTGGTTGTATAGTATAGTTAGTGTGATTTTCCTTTTGCGCCTACTTTCAACGTCCCCCAAATGGCAAACATTCGGTTGCAACTCTCTGTGCTCTCCCCATTGGTGAGAGGTGCAATTTAGTGTTCAGATGTAGGGATCCTCAGCCTGAGGGGCGGTTCCTGCTCCCCACTTGCACCATTTGCAAGAGTTCTTCCACCCACTCCATCACCTAGAAACCAGATTTCTTGCAGAACAAACACCTAGGGCTTGCACCGATCTGCCACTCTGCAGATTCAAGGGGACTTCAATGTTTTTCCGCCTTCAAGGATCCCATGAACCTAGATTAAACCAGAATCACACCTAATAACTCTGATGTTATATTTCCATCTGTGGCTTATGCGGCTGCTGCATCTGACAGGAGGTACAATAAGCCACCTGTCAGGGGTAAGACCCAGTTGCCTGCAGTTCAGTCAACGGAAGCAAGTCTCTCTCTCACACTTTATTTATCTTGCAACTGCATCTTTTTCTTTGATCCTTTCATCGCACGCTGCTCACCCCCACCCCCGTGTTTCTGCAAGCTGAATTACGTGGGCTGTCCCACGAGGATGCATCGCTTGTGTTTGTTTGCCACGCTCAGACTTACTTTTGTAATTGGAAACCGTTGCAAGCAATATTAGAGAAGCGTAACTGCAAGAGCGGGAAGGAATCAAGAGAACAACTATAGCAGTGGAAAGGAGTGTGTGAAATGATTATTCCAATACAAGACCTTCCTGGCTTATCCAGGGGTGCTGCTGAGCCAGGGTTGGATTTAGGTTTGATGAGGCCCAAAGCTACTGAAAGTAATGGGGCCCTTTATATGTCCAGCTGTCCTTTGTCAACAACAAATTGTCACTGTTTTTTGTGTTGAATATATGTTATATGGTGATTTATGGATCTAATACAGGGGTCAGCAAACTTTTTTAGCAGGGAGCCAGTCCACTGTCCCTCAGACCTTGTGGGGGGCCGGACTGTATTTTTTTTGGAGGGGGGAATGGGGAAATGAACGAATTCCTGTGCCCCACAAATAACCCAAAGATGCATTTTAAATAAAAGCACACATTCTGCTGTTGTTTAGTCATTTAGTCGTGTCCGACTCTTCATGACCCCATGGACCAGAGCACGCCAGGCACTCCTGTCTTCCACTGCCTCCCGCAGTTTGGTCAAACTCATGCTGGCAGCTTCGAGAACACACATTCTACTCGTTCTACTCATGTTCTACTCATGTAAAAACACGCTGATTCCTAGGCCGCCCGCGGGCCAGATTTAGAAGGCAATTGGGCTGGATCTGGGCCCCTGGCCCTAGTTTGCCTATCCATGACTTAATAGGTATCTAAAGCCATTTGGCACTGTTGCTGCATGTTTTATTTTATTTGTTTTTTATCTTATATTTTGGAAATGTACATCCAGGTTGTTTTTTCCCTTTAAATTTTTGGGGGCCCCCCAAGAGAGTGGGACCCTAAGCTATAGCTTGTTTAGCTTATACATAAATCCGGCACTGTGCTGAGCTGACAGGGAAGTACTTGGCAGGTCCCTGCTCTGCAGAATGGGGATGTGGGGGAACAAATGAGGAAGGCTGGCTTACCACATTTGAAAGTGAAGTAATAAACGCTACCTTCTGAAAAGGCTGTGTAAAAGACCATTAAGTCTAGAATTACCTAACTGTAGAAAAAATGAAAATGCTATTCCATGAACACTGGTCTAGCTGTATTTCATATATACCACCAGGGAGAATGTTAACTGCAGTCCAGCCTTTCACACGGAACATTATAGAGGAATTTCCTGCAGTAAATTGTATACCATATCCAATGCTTTATTTTTTTGTAGGGGGAAAAAAATAGGTGCCGGTATTCACAATAAAGTTGTTACAGAAAATTTGAACATTTGGGAGGGAGGTGCCAGAACTGCATATCTCTGAGTACCCCCAGAAAATAGCACTGACAATATCGAATATAGCATGAACCTATGCGCAACTTAATTATTTCACAATCAGCACTTTATTTCTGTTCTTCTACATCAGCGGTCAGCAAACTTTTTCAGCAGGGGGCCGGTCCACTGTCCCTCAGACCTTGTGGGGGGCCGGAATATATTGGGGGGGGGAGAAATGAATGAATTCCTATGCCCCACAAATAACCCAGAGATGCATTTTAAATAAAAGGACACATTCTACTCGTGTAAAAACATGCTGATTCCTGGACCGTCCACGGGCTGGATTTAGAAAGCGATTGGGCCAGATCCAGCCCCCGGGCCTTAGTTTGCCTACCCATGTTCTACATGATTGGACTAATGAAATATATAATTGATATCAATATGAACTGTATGGCTGAGCTGTGTTGTAATACTGTATTTTGTACTGAAGGTGTTGGTACTGATCTTTAAAGCCCTAAATTACTTCAGATCTGCCTAGTTACAGGAGCATGTTGACTCTCATACAAACAGCGATGTGGGTTTTCTGGAAAATTCTGAATTGGATTATCTCCCCAGAAAACAGACACCACTATTTGTAATTTGATTAGAAAATGTTCAGTTTGCACAGAGTAATTTTCTGATACCCTAGAGAATGATCTGATTTAGCATGACGTTTTACTTGTCTGCTTTATCTTTTGAAAAGTTGTCTCTTTGTCCACTCTCTATTAATTTGAACACTATTTGATATACCATAACAAAATTTTGCATGATGGTTCCTGAGATCAAGGGACAGGTTTTTTGTCTATGTTTGGATACAACTGAACACCGTTTTTATTCAAGATGGCAAACTGATCCTTTCAAAACTGCATTGATTTTGACTGCTGATTTCTCTTTTGTTCGTTTCTTAGAATATTCAATCAAAGCTGGGCGCTTTTCATTAGTACAGTGGTGCCCCGCAAGACGAATGCCTCGCAAGACGAAAAACCCGCTAGACGAAAGGGTTTTTTGTTTTTTGAGGTGCTTCGCAAGACGAATTTCCCTATGGGTTCTTGCGGGTTTGTTTCCTTTTTCTTAAAGCCGCTAAGCCGTTAATAGCCACTAAGCCGCTAATAGCCGTGCTTCACAAGACGAAAAAACCGCAAGACGAAGAACGGATTAATTTCGTCTTGCGAGGCACCACTGTATTCAACAAACAAAGCTGAAATCTTTGAAAACTGCCAGGCTTGCCTAAAATTGCGTTGGCATCCTTTTGCTGTTACAAGTGAACTTACGAAACTGAGAATTTTCCACAAGTGAATAAAGCACCAGCAAATTTTCCGTTAAATGTTCTGTGAATTTTTTCCCGTCGTGCATCTTTGCAGAGAAACATCCTCACACTGTTAGATAATGCCAGTTCCAGGTGTGTGGGTAGGAAGAGGCGGAGCTAGCTGCTATGGCACCCAGAGGGGGGGGCTAGCCACCCGCGGGGGCGGGGCAAGCATCCCAGAGGGGCGCCGCCCGCAGCGAGCATCCCAAGGGGGCAGCGTGGCAATGTCACCCCCCTCAGGGATGACACCCGGGTCAGATCACACCCACCGCATCCCCCTTCCTCCGCCAGTGTGGGTAGGGGGACTTGTGTAGGATGCTCTCAATCGGCTCCCTCCCCAATTGTATCTATCATGTCTTCTCCACCACTGTTGCTGCCCATTTGCTTCCCTTTCTCTCTGGCCCCAGCCCAAGCCCATACAGGTTACTGTTCCTTCTCCTTTCTTAGAGAGGGCAGGTGAAGAGGCTGCAACACAGAAAGGGAGGAGGTGGAGGCCCACAAGGCTCTAGGAATTGGCAGCAAGTCTCCTACTAAGGTGTGGGCTTTGGCAAGCGCCCAAAGATACTGACTGCCAACAATAGCCCTGCACTTAGATCACCTAGGGAAGCCCAGCTCTGCGTGCCAACACTGTCGATGATTAGGCTGGCAGTTCCAACCAACAGGACTTTGCCTGCTGTTGATGTCACAATGCAGAACTCTGTCCCTCAGGGTGCCTGCGAAGCAAAATCTTTTACTGCTTTCCAAAGAACAGCAAAAGCCTTTTCCTTTTCAGAAAGCACTTGGGATGCGGATGCAATGTACTTTTAAATGCACTGCTCTTAATTTTATTTCGAGATCATTTTTGTGATTGAAATTTGTTAATTGGTTTTGACCCACTCAAGGATTTATGGCTTTCTTTAAAAGAGAAAGGTGGGCAAGAATATACTTAATAAATTATTCACTCAGCTCCCAAATAATAGTGCCAAATCCAATATGCAGTACTTCTGCCCACGCACATTTTTAACAACACCCTCATGTGTCATTTCAAAACAATTTGATGCATAGTTACACGGCACCACCATGTACCTACTTCCAGGGAATATGAGAAGACGTGCATTAAGGAGCGATAAGAAACAAATAAAACAACTAGCATGGCAGGGGCAATGCTAAGCATTCATCTCCTTTGTTCTTAGAGTAAAATAACTGGCTTGTGACACCACAGTTAGTTTGAGCATCGATGCTCAGCCAGCCCCCTTGATTTCAACTATAATGTGCAATGCTTACATTACAGTGGTACCTTGAGTTAAGTACTTAATTCGTTCCGGAGGTCCGTACTTAACCTGAAACTGTTCTTAACCTGAAGCATCACTTTAGCTAATGGGGCCTCCTGCTGCTGTCGTGCCGCCAGAGCACGATTTCTGTTCTCATCCTGAAGCAAAGTTCTTAACCCGAGGTACTATTTCTGGGTTAGCAGAGTCTGTAACCTGAAGCGTATGTAACCTGAAGCGTATGTAACCCGAGGCTCCACTGTACAGTTAAGTGTGACT